TTTGACCCCCCCCCCCCTCCCCCCCAAAAAAAAATCTTTAGTTGACCTCAAAAATTAAAAAATCTAATAATTTTGACCAAGTAAGGCAAGGGTAAAATTGTAACTTTATAAATTTAATATGAAAAAAATATAAAAATTGTTTAAAAGGGAAAATAAAAAATCCTATCTCCTTCTTCAAAACAAAACAAAATGGCAAGTTGTGTTGGGTATTTAGGTGCTATGCCGGCAATGTGGAGCTAGATCGGAGGTGATGTATACATGATACGTAAAGTGTGGGTGGTATATGAACTAAACTGGTGGCTCGCGATGATTGAAGGTTTAGGCGAAAATGCGACTGGAAATCATACGCACAATAGCGTCAAGTGGGATGAACAATAAGGGAAGATGGCGACGAATTAGTAGCGGTGCATAGTGGTTCAGTCTGGTATTAGGTTGGTTGGGTGTAGGCGGAGGATGGTGGTGCATTGGCGGTGTCGGGGGTTGTAGGATGAGTCATGGGTTGTCGTGTAGTTATGGATGGGAGTTTGGATTGGTGTGGTATGGTGGTCAAGCCGTGGGTGAAGTGGTGGTGCCGGTGGACATGGATGATAACTTAAACCTCGCCTTCAACCTACAAGCCATCTACGGACCCAACGTTGACCCAATCCAACCTCAAAGTCAACAACCTAGCAACTCAACTAGGGTGGGTGAGGACGAAAGACCTGAGATCGATTTGCTTGAATTTTTTGGCTGGACGAGTCCCATGTGCTTGCCCGGAGCTGGATGAGAAGCTGGAGGAGGAGGTGAGTGGGGATATTCTAGGTAAGAAATGTGTTCGGACTACTAGGAATCCGGTTGCGACCATGGCTCGGTGTCAGGTTTCGGAGTGCGAGACCGATATTAGCGAGCTCAAAGGGTACCGTAGGAGGCATTGGATTTGCTTGCGGTGTGCCAATGTGATTGTGGTGATCAAGTAGTGGGTGAGGCGGTGATACCAGGGGCCGGCAACTGGATGGAGGTGGTTTTGATTTTGGGGTAAGGGGAATTAGCAAAATTGAAGGAGGAGATGGGATTTTTTATTTTTCTTTTTAAATAATTTTTATTTAATTTTATATTAAAATTATTAAGTTACAATTTTATCCTTGTCTTACTTGGTCAAAATTATTAGATTTTTGATTTTTGAGGTCAACTGACGGTTTTTGGGGTCAAACTAATTGAAACTATCAATCTGGACTTTAATTGCGAATTTTGTAAAGGTTTGGTATCTATGGTGACACAAATGAAATGTTTGGGTAAAGTCTGCTAATAAACGAAAGGTTTGATACTTGGTTGCAATTTTTCATTCGATTAATTAGATGTAATTTTATTAGGAAACACATGCCAAAAATAAGCTCCTTTTTGGGCTTCATTTTATTCAAATTGTATTTTTTCTTTCTTCTTGTTAATCGCGTTTTTCAATAAAATAATATCATATGTAATTTTTTTTTAAAAAAAAATCAAACATTCTTTTAAAAATTACTATTTATAAATAACTTTTTCCCAAAATTTAATTTTAGCGGAGACAAAAAAGGGCTTCCATTAAAAAAAAAAAAAGAAGAAGAATAAAATGATTACTTCTAAGATTAATACAGTAAGGCCCCGTTTGATTGCATGAAATTTTCCATGGAACTTGAAATTAGAATTCCAACTTCTACTTTTGACCTGTTTGATTAACAAAATTTTTCAGGGAATTGATTTTTCATGAATTTTTAGATACAACACCTTAAAGCGTGATTTTCCACCTTTTATTTTCCAGGGGTAGGTGATTTTTGGTTTTCTAACTTTTTTTTTTTGCTTTTTGTTTTTTTTAATTGTTGGCAATGAGAACAAATTCTAGGAACAATTGTAAAAGAGGATATCCTTGAAATTGACAATTCTCATGTAAAACAAAGTCAAACGAATACCAAAATATAGATGATTTTTTGATTTTTTTTCCTTTTTTTTTTTGGTTGGCAATGGAAACAAATTCTAGGAACAATGGTAAAAGTGGATATCTCTTAAATTGACAATTTTCATGTAAAACAAAATCAAACGAACACAAAAAAATACTTTTATTTTAACATTTTTCACATGAAAAATTATACCAATCAAACACAATAATTTATAATTTTCAGAAAAATTTTTTTAGATAATTTAATTCTTTAAAATTTATTTTCTTTCCATCCAAATTTTATTTTCGCAATCAAATAGACGCTAACCCTAAAAGATGAATACAAGAATATCTGTTGCATTGTTCATAAAAGTCAAAGTCGGAGAAAGTCACAACAACTTTCATTGATTTAACGTTTTTCATCAGTTTATAACTTGTCGTTTGATGGTTTTTTAACCCAAAAAATCTTCAAAAGCCAAAAGCATTGGTCCACTCGCAGCTATTTTAGAACGGAAATTACTAGATTTCGTCATCAAGGCTTCGAGTCTTTCTCCAGCCGGAAAAAATGGCGTCAAATCTTACAATAAGTACCGTAGAAGGGAATTCCGATTACGGTTTTGGTTCAAGAGTTCATTATCAAGATCAGTGGGGGAATTTCAGCAGTGGTGGGATTATTTCTGAAATTGAAGAAGAGTTTTCAAATGAATTGTTAGAGATAAACAATGAAGTTCCTTTGAATACGATAAGTGAAGAAGTTGAAGGGAGTGTATTCTCGTTTGATTTTCACAATAGGGATGATGTTGTTTATGTTGTAGTAGGGACGAGTGAAGAACCAAGCATGGATGCACTTAAGTGGACTCTGAAAAATGCTGTGAATCCTTCATCAACTCTTGTTTCTCTGATTCATGTCGTTCCTGAGACAAAATACATCCCTACACCATGTAAGTTCTCTCTCTCAACTTACACATTCCCTAGTGAGAAGTTTGAGTTAGGTTTACCGGCAGTCATTCACAGCCCGGATTTTAGGTTCGCCAGTCACGACCTTTCTTTTGGCATCCGGGTCCTAACCAAACTTCACTTTTTCGGCTATTGAGGATCGGGTAGGGTGCGCCAACAAATTTTGACCCCTCTTACTTGCACACGAACAAAAGCGAAAAAAATGTATTGTTCTACAGTTGAGGCAGTGGATTGCTTGGTCATGTTTGCAGCCACTGGTTGCTGTTAACATTTTGTGATGTAGCTGTATCTAACACTAAACATAAATGTTTGTGTAACAGGTTATTTAGGTCGACAACGAACAGAGGAACAAAAGTATAGTATTACAGACAATCTATTTAGACTTAAAACTTATGCTAGCTCATTGAAGTCTTAAGAAGATCAGTTTTGCTTGGTGTATGTCAAGTTTGATATCATGGATGACATTGTGTGAATTGACAGCTTATTGTAAATTGATTGAGACAACATTCTTTTCAAACAACGATCATATTTTCTACACAAAGGGGATTTCATCCAAGATGTCGACCATGAATGTACAAGTAGCTTAATTGTACGAAGATTTATGAACTTGTTCTAGAAAATTATAGTTAGCTTTGTTTATCACTCGTATATGCCTTATCATGTTAATAACAAGTCGATTTCTGTTGCATTTGTTGATATCGACTCAAACGAGTTAACCTGGAAAGGGGGTTGGAATTGCAACTAAGCAAACTATATGTATATCCTTGTGTGACAGTGGGAAAGCTTCCAATTAGTCAAGTGAACCCGGAGCAGAAGGAGAAATACATGGCTCAAGAAAGCGAAAAGAGGAGAGAATTCCTTCAAAAGTTTCAGGATGTCTGTATTGCTTCACAGGTATCAGATAATCTTATCATCAACTTGTACCAATTATCTAATAACACATTACAAACAGTATATGGAAAGTTAAAAATAAACACGTCCAAGTAAATTGACGCAGTAAATTCACACGATAACATACATTGCAAAGTAAAGTATTGAATGTTCAAAAACATTACTCAGTAACATCAATGCTTGTCACGTACAGTTACGTGTTCAAATTATTTGGAGAATCATGAGCTAACAATGTGCTTTTATGTTAAAAGGTGACGGTGGATATCATACCTATTGACAGTGACATGGAGGCAAAAGCTATACTGGACCTAATTCCCGTCCTCAACATCAGAAAGTTGGTTCTGTGCACCACTAAGTCTAATCTAAGGTACAGTATCAATTGGTTCAGCCATTAACTATTTTCGAAACTTTCTTTTCGCTTTTATCAATTATTTTACGTAGATTATTGTATGCGAGTGTTCCAGGAAACTGAGGTCTAAGAAAGCCAGTGGTGGAGCTGATAAGATACTACAAGATGCACCAGAATACTGTGAAGTTAAGCTCATATGTGGAGGAAATGAAATAACTGACCTGAAGTTTGAGTCCCCTTCTGCTTCTCCTTCTCCCTCTCCCTCTCCACGGGCTGCCGACCGAAGTCCCAAACCTGTGCAAGAGCAAGAGCAAGAGCAAAGCAATAATGACTCCTTTTCATGTGGGTGCTTCAGGCCTAAGACTAGATTCTGAATGCTAAAAGAATCTAATGGGAATAGCTCAGTATGGGAGATCTTAAGGTGGCTTCATTTTAACTGTTTTGCAATTAACCACAATGTATAAAAATTATTGAAAGTACAGGCAGGAAAGTCTGAACTATGCTGTATCCAAAGATGATAAGCAAATTTCATTTTTTTTTAACCAAAAAAAATAAAAGTAAAATCCTTACTTCTTTCAACTTTTCAATCTTCCTTTTGTTTTTAACAAAAGCCCACTTGCTAAATCATAAGAGCGCACAACAATTGAAACGAAACAAAGGAATAGAGTGTGACATATTCATCGAAGATCGAGCCTTATAGTGCTCATCAGGTTTCAAGAAGCAGACCAGATTTTTCATTACCATGCATTTGTCCTCAATTTACTCTTGAATACTATATACAAAATAGTAAATCAATTCCAATTAAGCCCCTGTTAGAGCATCATTTTTTTTCCAAACTCATTTTCAATTGCACATTCTTCCAATATAATAATTTTGCATGTAAATTCAAAACTTTTCACTGCTTTTAATCATATATTCTTTGAAAAACCAACATTACAACACTCATTTTTCTGAAAAATGAGGCTCAAACAGAGCCTAAAGGTACTATCGCATCTACATTTGTGGCTTATAGAGGATTTAGCGCAGTGTCTGGTACAAATGTCAGCACATACTATCTAGATTTGGTCCTACACTGCCTGGAATTCAAGAAACTTTTCCCAGAAGGATACATAAAAACATTATACAAAGTGCATTTCTATTGTCAAAGTTCACCGTGTTCAAATGCAATCAATCCCAGTCCTCCCAAATTAAAACTTCCCCATGCTGCGTGGATCTGGAAGACTGGAACCATGCAAGTTGAGGGAGGTCTTGATCAATTGGCATTCATAATCTATGACAGGCAGCAACAACAGATATCCAACTCTAAATCAACCCGGTACTACATAGAAATCTCACAAACCTGATCATTAACATCCTGGATTTTCCATAACATTTGTTTTGCGTAACTTAAAAAATCAAATTCCAACAATTCTCTCATATTCAACAGGCTTGGAGATTTCAGGATGGGTGGCACAACCTATTAGCACACAATTAGCTCCTTCAAAGAAAGGGTGTTGCTTAATCTCAGTTGAGCCTCTTTTATAAGCCGACCTGTGCCGTGGTTCTTTCACTAGCAGAACCCTGATCAAATCCCCGAAGGCGAAATTGACAATTAGAGATTCTGGAAAACGAAGAGGCTAGCCAACAACATTGAATCGTGTGTCTCGATTACTAGATCCTTTAAATGGAGTTTTGCCAAACATAAGTTCATATAGAAAGATCCCAAAAGTCCATCAGTCCACCGCACTTCCATGACCTTCACCTTCGATAATTCAGGTGCCAGATATTCACGAGGTCCCACAAATGACATTGACTGTGCATTGGTTGGTTCAACAATCAGCTTGGGCAATGGGGTAACTTGGTTTCCAATTCCACTTTTGGGTTTGCTATTTTTCTTGGTTTTGCTAGAAAAGAGCGGGGGGAGAAGAACAACACATGATGGCTGAACGCAGGCAGGTTCAATGCAAGCTGGTTGGATGCAATACGTAGAATTTTTACTCATGGGTTCCGACTCCAAGGATGGTGTCGTGACCAAAGTTGGACTGACTTCGTAATGAAGTGAAAGATCAAAATCTGAGAGTATTACCTGTCCATCATCCCTCACAATGACATTCTCAGGCTTAAGGCCACGATAGACAAGCCCGAGCACGTGTAGATATTCTAGAGCAAGCAGGATTTCCGCAATATAAAATCTGCAACAAGGGAATTAGTAATTATCAGAGTATTGACTGCACGATAGATGTTTTTAACATAAAAATACATGTCCATTGCTTGAAAAGGTACTGCTGATTAGATAGATCAAATGATGATAGCATCAAGGATCAACTTTCTAATAATACTGATCGACCCAAACTTCCCCGAACTTTGTGATTGAGTAATAAAACATTAAATACAAGACATTCAGATTAAAACACTACTACTTTTCCAACGTTTATCAATGGTTGTTACTTCCAATTACAGTTCAATTTCAATCTCAAAGCTGGAGATAAGATCAAAGACCACTTCGCCATTCTTTTGCCTTTAATTGTCCTTATTTTAGCCTATATTTGACAACCCTTATTTGAAAACATTTTTTTCTATGTACTAATTTTTAATCACACGTATACATAATAAAATATTTTGCACGTAAATCCAAAAATTTCCCTTACTTTTTAATTGCACATTTTCTTAAAAATTACTATTCAAAACCCAAATATTGGCTGCCAAACAAGGGCTAATGTCAACTAATTGAAATAACAGTTTCCGATGCCTGTCAACTTTTGAAGACAAATCTTTGTAAGAATTTCAGACAAGAAAGAAGTGCCAGGAAATTTACAAGTATTGCCAACATTTAACATACTTCCATTGTCAAGGAAATTGATGATTCACTCAAGGTTACAAATTTTTTTAGTTTTGCTCGCTCTATTATGTACATTAACAACACAGATTTCTTGTACTATTATATCAAAACTTGTTGAAAAAATGATTATGAAATGGGTCAACTTTGAGCCCAAATTTCAGTAGGACCCACTTTTTAATTAATACGGGACCTAACATATCCACGTTCTACTTCACGAGATGATTAACGTGATATATTTATTTGTCGAAAACCATTTAGAATTGAATGAAATATTAAGTGTTAAAGTAATCCACATAAAACTAAGTATTATGGAAGAATTTGATTTTCCAAACACTTATCCCACATAGGAAAGTTAGAAAACTTTGGTGTGATTTATAAGGTGATAGTTTGGGAATTGGGTTTGGGCCTCAAGTGGTACCAATAGTCTTTGAAAGGGGGAAGACTTATATTCTATTAGATTCGATCATAAACCCACACGCGAGCGCCGCCGTCCTTCCGTCCGTCCGGCCGGCTCGGCACGTGTCTGAGATCGAAATTTTTTGGACAAAATTCATTTAAATTTTTGGGCCAAATTATAAATAATCAAAATTTTGGGTACATTATGAAATTTAAATTTTGGCTTATTCCGGGTGATTTTTTGGTCTGAATGGACTATTTAACAGTCGTCTTTTAACTGACCACACAGTCGACTGTTAGCCGACTGTTAACAGACGTGACTTTAGAACAACATGTCTGTTCCGAATTTTTGAGGTTTGTCTCAAAGGTGACGACTGTTTGAATGACCACGAACAAGTCTATAAATAGCTTGCTTCTCTGCTAGAAAATTTACACAATTTTCATTGCAAACTTTCTGTGCTTTGAATCTTATTCTCCTCTCTCTCGTTCTGATATTGTTTCGAAGTCAAATACACTTCGTTGAATTCGTTGGAACTCATGCAAATTGCTGTGCTGCTTCCGTAGGAGACGAAAATTCGTTCTATTTTGGGAAACGATTGCTGGACGCCTTTAGCACCATTGAAGACAGCAAATTCGTTTTAAGGAAACATTGTGAAGTCGGTGGCCTCGAATTACATTTTGGATCCTATTGATCATTTCTTACATTCAGGTGATTCTGTCGAATTGTTTTCAAAGGAGTAACTTCAAATTCTAGAAACAACAATCTTAAAATGAATTTCGCTATTATTCTGTTTCTGTTTCTACTCCTTCTTACAGTTGATCTTCTGATTGTGTTTCAGAAATGGCAACTTCTGGTACCACACTCCCGAATACGACCGGAGAAAATTAGAAAAATTTAATGGGTCAGATTTCAAGCGTTGGCAACAAAAAATATTTTTTTTTCCTACAACATTAAATCTGGCTAAATTTCTCAAAGAAGATGTGCTTTTATATACCGAGCAAGACACTGATACTGAAAAATTGGTTGCGGTTGATGCATGGAAGCATTCTGATTTTCTGTGCAAAAATTATGTACTCAATAGATTGGACAACACATTATATAATATGTATTGCAATGTGAGGTCCGTAAAAGAACTATGAGAATCTTTGGACACCAAGTATAAAATCGAAGATGCCGGTACGAAGAAATTTATTCTCGGTCGATTTTTGGACTATAAAATGGTTGACAGCAAGACTGTCATATTCCAAGTTCAAGAACTTCAAATCATACTTAGCGACATCCATGCCGAAGGAATGAAACTAAGTGAATCATTTCAAGTCACTGCATTGATTGAGAAATTACCGCCTTCATGGAAGGATTTCAAGAATTACCTAAATCACAAGCGGAAGGAAATGAAACTTGAAGATATCATTGTCCGATTGAGAATAGAAGAAGACAATCGCAAAACTGAAAGAAGGAATGGTGCATCTCATTCGATGGAATTAAAAGTCAACATTGTAAAAGGAGGCTTCAAAACTAGCAAAAAGAGGAAGCACAATGGTGAAAGACAAACTGGTTCTTCAAAAACTGCTAAAAAATTTAAAGGCAACTGTTACAATTGTGGCAAGGCAGGACATCGATCCAAAGATTGTCGAAAGTCAAAGAATGTTAAGGGAAAAACTCACCAAGCCAATGTAACAGAACATGAGAACCTCACCGATAAGGTATAAGACATGAATCTTTCTGTGATCGTCTCTGAATGCAACTTAACTGGAAACACTAAGAAGTGGTGGGTGGATACTGGAGCTACTCGTCACATATGCTCAAACTGCGGGATGTTCTCTACCTACAAAGCGATTGATCATGATGAAAATCTCTACATGGGAAACTCGTCATCTTCCAAGGTAGAAGGACATGGGAAGATAGTGCTGAAAATGACAAGTGGAAAAGAGCTCACTTTGAATGACGTTCTTCATGTGCCGAATATTAGGAAAAACTTGGTATCTGGTTTTCTAGTAAGTAAGAACAGGTTTAAGCTTGTATTTGTTTCAAACAAATTTGTACTCTCAAATAATGAAATGTTTGTAGAAAAGGGCTACCTGAATGAGGGGCTCTTTAAGTTGAACGTAATGACTGTTGTACCTCTAATTATGAATAAGAATACATCTTCTTCTTACTTGCTTGAGTCATTTAATTATGAACGATTAGGACATACAAATTATAACACTTTGCGTAGACTAATCAAATTAGATTTATTACCAAAGTTTGATTTAAATCCTAATCACAAATGTGATATATGTGTA